GGGGGGGTGAGGTTCTAAGCTTCATCACTGTTGATCCGAGAATGGGAGGTTTTCATGAAACAAGGACAGACCCAGTGAGGGTGAAAGAACAGCATAAAAATGGCAGTTCTGGAAATAATACAAGTTTCCATTCAATAAGCATGTACTCGGTGTCCTCTATGCTAGGTACTTTATATATGCTATTCAATTCTCACAAAAACTCTATAGCATACCATCAGGGTCCCTGTTTTAAGGATGAGGAAGGAGGCTCAGATAGGCTACCCTGCTCAAGATGGCAGAACCTGGATTCGAGCCCAGGGTGAGCCCCGTGTAACTCCAAGGTCCAGATCTTTCAATCTATCCAGCTCCCTGGTTTCAACAATAACCCTAACCATGCCCTGTGGGGTCCAAAATTGTTCTGTGTACACTGCCATCAGCTCAGAACCCACACCGGGTAGGCTCAATGTGTTTCTGCTTTTCTAAAATACAGTCATGTGGTCCAGAGCAAGTTTATCTTCAAATATGGGACTAAAGAGGGACTAGGAGGTGCTGCTGAAAATCCCAACGAGGAAGACATTTCTCAGAAGGGGTCTCTATCAGAGCAGGGGACTTAAAGTGACAGCCACTCACTTTCTATAGCTACAAGTCAACACATGAGAAAAGAGTTAAAGTTACTAAGGTTTAATCTAAGGAAGGTGCAACATTCACAGTAGGATAAATCTCTATGAGACTTTTAAAAATGTAAGACTGTACCCTGGAAACGGTAATTAACAGCAGTTTCTCGACATTTCTGTGAGGTTTTGATCTGAATGTCAGTTTTTTTTTTTTTCATTATACCTCGGGAGAGAAATGTCACTCTATAGGGGTGGACCCAATTACGAGTTCATGAATTTGTGGAAACCCACTTGTCTTTACCGGACCTCTTCGATTCCACCTTTATAAGTAATCCTGTACCTTACGCATGAGCCAGTTTTTGCCTTGCTCATCTGGGATATACTGACAGAGTTTTCTCACCACCATCTTTCCACGTGGGCAGACGACAGACGTTCCGGCACATGGCCACAAAACTGTGGAAGTAGTGCCCAAGGCTCTCATCCGACTTCTTGTCCAAACGGGAGATGAGGCGGAACTGCGTCCAGTCGAAAGTTTTCTTTTCTTCATCATAAACAACACCAAAGGAAGACACAGTTCTGTAGAAGTCGGCTTGTTCTCTCCTAGTCCACCTTGAGATTTAATCAGAAAGGGAGAGTGAGCTGTTTTTCCTTAAAAAAAAAAATTAATAATCTAACAGTACTTACTGAGCACCTACTCGGAGAGTTCGTGAAGCCAAGAAAGGAGGCAGAGCTCGTTTGTCTATTTTATCATTTCTTTTTATCTAAGTTAAATTGGGCTGAGGCTTATAACAAAAGTAGACTATTTTCCTACTATATTTTCAAACCTTCCAGCTTTTTCTTCTGGTATTTTACCTTTCTGTTTCTAAATCATGTGTGCATACTTGCTATCTCGATTCATCAATTTTAGAAATCACCTAGTAGGATAAAGATTTTATAAATAGTATAGACACTTAAATATTTTGCCGTATTTTCTCCCCCCTATAAAACAACATAGAATCATAGAATCCTGGACAGACCTTCTAGGCCACTAAATTCACCTCCTTCATTTTACAGATAAGGAAATGGGTCCAGAAAAGGGAAGTGCTTCCCTCTGCCACCCACCAACCTGGACCCCTAACTCACACTGGCCGTCTTCTTGGTTTTACAGAGGCAGGTTACCCACTATCAGTTATCTTCCCTGAGATACAAGGTTCTCTAGTCTTTACATCCTGCAGGATTAAGATGGTGACTTAAGGGAGCTGGATACTTATATACCACCACAGTTTTAATGAAAGGCTCCTAGGCATGGTCCTCTCCTCTCCCAGAGGGTCAGGTTAGGAGTGGAGCAAGGCAGTGGGTGGGAGTGAGAAGCATGGCAGAAGGGGCACTGGCTCTTTTCTTTGGAGCCGTGAGAGATGGGAGATGCTTTTTCCCTGAATTACTAAATCTCATAAAGGCAGGAGTACATGGAAGTCAATGAGTTTGCTCTGTGGTGTTCTTTTAATTCATTGGATGTTGTATCAGAAGCTGGAGAGACAAAGACTCAGGACCTGCAGCTTCATGATGCTCTGGTGGCATCGTTACTGGTCTGCGTCAGCCCTCCGTCGCTCGGATGGGCAAGTAACTCCTGCTGACTATGCACTCCCTTTGCGCTGGCATTTTATGGTACTTAACTGTTCTCAAAGGCTTGATAAGGACTGACAGCTATAATAACTCAGCTTCAATGCATACTATTCACTTTGCTGCTCAAACAGCATGGCCTGATATAAGCCAGTGTGATGTTTTTAGACCACATCCCCAGAGACTGGAGTCCAACTTAGGTAAGAGGGTCAAGTTGGAAAATGGTTAAGTCTGGGAATTGTGAACAAAGGTGTCCTAGATCTCTGATATCAGATTCCCCAGGCAGCATGACAATACCCAACTGGTTTAATCTGGAGCTCACTTGACTTCACACAAGAACATTAAACACACTTGCCCTCCAGCTAGCTGTCTGCTCCCCCTTGGTCACATTTACCCAGTGGACAGCTCAGCATGCCCTGATAGGCACTGGCTTTACCTCTTTTGAGCTTCCTTGTTGATGAGCTCCATTTCTGAGGTCCTCCTGAACATCTCTTCCTGGACCCAGTATCCTTGGTTACCTGGCCCCAGAACTTCAGGCCGGCAGAGTTCCTTGCGGTTGCAACGCTGGTAAATGGTGACCAGTCGTCTAAGCCGAGCTGTGAGAGCAGACGGAACTGGCCAGGGCGCTCTGTCTGGGTCGGAGCCATCCTGGGCTTCAAACACCAGTGAGAACATTAGTATTTACAAACAGAACCAAAACAAAGGCGTCTGCTGGCAAACTCCGTAACTTAATCAACTCTGGAGCTAGGTGTAGCTGGAAGGGCTGCGATTTTGTTTAGAAACAGCTTTAGGTTACAGTTGGCTGTGTAAATCTCTCAAATACAAATGTGCCTGTCTGTGGGGACAAAACTGATCTGAGGACCTTGCTCTAAGGCATGAGAACAAGTCGACCCTCTATGGACTTCTCCATATACAACTGTGGGCTTGTATGTAGCTGCGTCTTGCAACTGCCAAAGACCCTATTAAGTTTGAATTTAGAAAAACAAACAGAAATACCAAACCAAATCAACCCCCCTAAGTTTTCTCCAAAAAGAAAATTAAATAAAAAAACGTTGAAAATCATTGAAACCATGATTCCTTTTTCTCCCTCAAACTCCATCCTGACTTCAGGTGCCATCACTGACTTCCCTTTCGGGTTTCAATGCCAGGTGGAAGAAGCTTGCCTGAGCCGCATTAAAGCTCCAAGTGTGACTCTAGGAGAGTTTGATGACGGTCAACTTCCTTGGCTTTTAAAAAGAACCTCCTTATAAAACAGCACTTTTTTTACATATGAACTCCAGGGTAACTGCAAACTAGGACCTTTTTTCCTTTGCCTTCAGAAGGACACAGTCTCACCTGCCCGGCTGTCATCTTTCTTTTCGCCAAAAATGCCATCACCTCCATCACCAGAACTTTCCTAGGGATAAATGAAGCCACGCCATCAGCAGAAGTGCATCTCAGAACAAACCCCCCGATAGTCCCTGCAGGGCAGTAAACATGCACAGAGGTATCTCCTGTTCATGAACATCTCGGAGGCCAAAGCAGTCCCTGATGAATAAAGCTTACTTACGCACAGTTATCAAGGAGCCAGAAAGCACTTTGTTTAAATAAGCATTTTCCCTGGAACTGTGTGGAATGATTCTGCTGGTATGGAATTACGTTAAAGAATGATGGACTGGCATCCTCTCCTTAGTAATTACATTTTACAAGCACTATTGTGGTTTGAATCTAAATATTTGCTTGACCATCATCACTTGCAATACTGTCATTTCACAAAGGTTGTGCCTGCATTTTTGTTTTTTGCTGTGAAAAACCATCATGCTCATTTTCATTAGTTACCTTACTTCACAGCAACAGACACTATTTTTCTAAAACATAACTGCTCCAGACATGAGAACCGATGGCGCAAAACCCCAGGAATTTAAAATTAAAATCACAATACGAGGTTCCAAGTGTATCTGGAGTAACATCACAGGCACAGAGCTTATCCAAGTTGAGCATTTGTCAAACTGGCTCTAATGGATTCCTTTAAAGACCTATTTTTGGTCTCAGGAACGGAACTTTTAAAAAGCTCCTTATAGGATATGGCAGGTGGGAGACGGGGGGTTGGAGAAAAGATAGTACTACTTTTTAACTAGCTCCATTTTTAACATGAAAATTTATTGTGTTTTTAACTAGATATTTTAACCTGAGTGATAGGAGGGAATAACCCTGGGATTCAAGACTTTGGCCACGTTAGAGCACAGGGTCAGATGGGATATAAGGGTCAGCAAACTGTGGTCTGCAGACTGTTTCTGTGTGGCCCTTAAGCTAAGAATTATTTTTACATATTTGAAGAGAAGAAGAAGAAAAAGAAGAGGGATGGGGGAGGAGAAGAGGGAGAGGGAGAATATACAACAGACTGTATGTGGTCCCTGGCCTAAGATATTCATGATCTGGTCCTTTACAGCATTTGCTGCATCCTGGACCAGCACACACAGGACAAGAAAATACTAACAGAGGTTCAGCAGGAATGGATGGACACCTACAACTGGCAATAGTTAAAATTCAAACCACCTTCTTGGGCCCTTAATTCCATGGAAGGATCTGAAAGGGAAAACTGAAAAGGCAAAGAGGGGCAGGGGTGCATTTTCTGAATGTAGTTCTTTCTTACTAGAATAGTGGTAAGAGGGACACGACTGAGAACTCTGTGCTACTGAAGCACTGTGCAAATCCCTTCGTGTGGCTGACCTCATTTAGTTACCAGAACTGCCTCAGGAGGTAGAAAATACTACTATGCTCATTTTACAGATGCAGAAGACAAGCCCTAGAACTTGCCCAAGGTCACATGGCTAGCAAGTGGCAGAGTTGGGTTTCAAACACAGCAAGTCTGAAGAGAGCCTAAGCTTGCAACCACAAAGTTATCCAGAAAAGAGCATTTGGGTTGACAATTTGCTTTCAAGAATAAACAATACATAGAATCGGAGAACATGGCTTAACCTCCCTTCCCCAGCCAGAACTGTCTCCAGCCATCTAACGTCAGTGAAGACTGGAAACCTCAGGCTGATCTATTGTACCATTTTAAGTAGCATTTAAATATGCCATCTCATCCTCTCCCACTACTGAGGTAGTTAAAAAATGAACAAAAAACCCCTGACTATGCCTTTTATCTTTCTTGCTGTAGAGAATATTTTTGAGTATCCTTACAGTATCCATGAAGATCCTTGAATGCTGATATTTATAGATGGTTCCAGACTGAGAAATGTTCTACAGCCTCTACCACGTGGGAGTCAGGCGCCAGAGCCGACACTCTCACCACTAGGACATATGGGTGGCGACATGAGCATCGCCGTGCTCTGCCCAAAGCCTCAGGGGCAGCTCCCAGCTTGGTGTGAGGCAGACGCACAGGACATGCAGGTGTCCCTTCCAATCTATCTCACAGCCTCTGTTGGTACAGTTAGTAAACATGAACAGCCTTTGGCAAACTCTCAAGGGAACATTCTAGTATCAGCAAGTACCTTTTTCTGTCCTGTGCCCTTTCTTGGAGGCACTTCCTCTTTCTAGAAATGAACGAATGGAGAAGACCTGGCTTATCAGTGGCCCAGCTTATCGGCATATCAATCAACTTGATATGAGCATGTGATGTACTCTCAAAGTGACAGCCTGGGGTTATGGAGCACACAGAAAGCCCTGAATTTGAACATGCAGTATCTCAGTTTCTGCCTATGTGTATCACTCTGGAAGAAACATTCATCTTAGAAGAGGTACGAATCCTTCATTTCAGGCATGAAAGGTCCCAGGAAGTGCTGACAAGAACTGGTTCACAACAGGCGATTTCCCCATCTTCAGCGTGCATGTGGTTTGGAGGCTGGCTGTCCACTGCTCTCTGGCCTTGGACAAGTTGTGTCAACCTCTCTTCATTTGCAAAATGGAAATGATAATACTTTTGAGGGTGTTTGTGGATGCAAATGAGTTACATTAAGTGTTTAGCCAATTGCTGGCACAAAGCAAATGCCCAACAAATAGTAGCTGGGAGGAGGAAATACTAACAAAAGATCCCAACTACTAGATAACACTCAGTATTTCTATCTTTCAACTAAACTGTGAGCTCTAAGGAAGCTTTTATAAAATAATAAAACAGCATCAATAACACAAAGGTCTACTGAGACCCAGGTAAGCAGCTGCCAGATACTATCTGCATTGAGTACTTTATATGCATTTCTCAATTAATTCATTATAAATGAATAATTATCCACTTTAGATAGAAGGTAATTACAGAATAGAAATGTTGACAATCTTGTCATAGTTATTAAGTCATTTAATAATAACTAATAAACATAGTTATTAAGTAGTGAAGACATAATTTAAACCCAGGTCTGACTCCAGAGGATGAACTCTAACCACTGTGCTGTGTTGCCTCTGGTGGGAGGAAGACACTGGTTCGAACCAAAAGCACTGTCAGTAACAGCCACTCAACTGCACACCCTTCACTTCTCCCTGGGGGCGTGGAGCTGCTTTCTTATCTGAAAAGGGAAGGTCTAGTCTCCCTGGCTTATGGCTGCCCCTCCAGGGGTGGCTGCCTCCCCTACTTATTCTGGGCATGGCTAGAGGTGGCAGAAGGGGCAGCAGAGACCTGGGGGGGGTCCAGGGGATTCCCTCTAGGCTCTTATAAGAATCCTAGGGCCAACGCAAGCATGATGAGCAGCATTCTTACATTCAGCAAACAATGATTTCCCCTTGAGTGCCAGCAACTATGCTAGGTTCAGGGACTACAGAGGAAAAGATAAGACTCCTCATTCTTCTAGAGCCCATGGCCTGGTGATTATAGAGACATGTAAATAAATCTGGCCATGCAGTGTGAGAAGGATTCTTCACAGTGGGAAAACAAGAATGAGTCGCCAACTCTGCCAGACCCAAACTAGGTAGGGGAAATGATAACTGTAGGGAAAATGGAAGTTCCATGGCCAGGATCCTCACCTGACCCTAATCTCCTTGCCCACTGGACATGTGCAATGATATAATAATTGGCCTACTTAGGCACATGCTTACACATGTGTTGGCAATAAGCCATTATTGTCTGTGTTGCTATATAAACAGCTCTGCCCAGTGCTCTGTGCAGATGGCAGAGGTGGAGACAGAGGTGGCTTATAGACTTGCAGATTGCTGGGTGAGGGTGTGGTTCTAGCGCCTGACCTACCGCCATGAGAAGAAAGCTTGGTATAAGCTCCCTTTTTCCCCCAATGTTCTGTTGTAATTTTTTGGTTTCACCAAATCCAGAACGAACTTGCCTGGAGCTAAAACCCCTCTGGCCTGGAGCTACAATATCCAAGAGGTGACCTTTGAGCTTCATACTGAAGGACACAGGAGTTCACCGGGAGAACATAAGAACTCTCAGTGTAGAGATAACAGGATGCACAAAGGCAGAGTTAAAAAGACCCACAGCGTTTTTCATTTGTAAGGAAATCAAGCACCCTACTACTCTTACATAGCCTTTGTGTAGACAGCAGATACACCTCAACTGTCATGAACATAAACGATTTTACTATGGAAATTCATTAACAACAAGGATATTAGTATGGAAAGACCACAGGACTCAGAAAAAGATGTGAGTAGGAGATAATGTTCTTGTGGCCTCTAGCTAGTATGACTTTTTTGTAGTTGATTAAAGCAATTTGAGCTTTCTCTTTTCTAGAATGGGGATAAGAATAGCCACGTGGAGGGGAAAACGTGCTGTAAGCTTGGAAGCGCTCTATAGGCAAATTTACTATTTGTCTTAGTGACAGCAGAGCTGCTACTCATTCCTACTTGTGTTAAAAGAGATGTTTCTCTCCCTGTGTACTAGGTTTGGTACAGAAAGATCTCACAATTCTAGGACCCAACCACTCCAAACCCAAGTAAACTTTTAGACCAGCCACTTTGCAAGGTCTCCGTAGGTTCAGCCACTCCAGCTGCATCTGAAATCAGTGACTGTGTTTACCAATCCAAAGTTCTATTGGTACTAAGCAGAAGGAGGGTGGGGGAAAGGAGTAGCCTAGATCACCTCAAATGTCCCTTCTAACTAACATTCTATGATTCCACAATGGCCACATTTAAGGAAAACAGTTACAGTGTGCTCCGGAAGGCACCAGAGTAGCAAGGGGCCTGGGGACAACATGATATGAAGAACAGCAGAGGAACTGGGGATATTTCACTTGAAAAGAAATTTAAAGAGATTAAGGTAGCTACTGGTCTCAAGAATTTAAAATTCTATTAGAAAGGGAAAAAAAACCAATTGTGTTCTTGGCAGTACCAGCAAAAACTAGAAAGAATCCATGTAACCAAATGTGAGCCAGATTTTTGGGCCAATACAGGAAGCATAACCCAACAATGAAATGGGCTTCCTTGGAAGGCAGCACATTCCACCTCTTTTTGTCAGGGACTCCTGGAATTATCTAAACC